CGGTTTGCTGATGTCAACGTTGTGGATCGAGTGGCCCATGGTAGCGGTGGGGTTATGGTATGGGCAGGCATATGTTATGGACAACGAACACAGGTACATTTTATTGATGGCATTTTGAATGTATGTGTATGTGAAACTGCACATTTTAGAGTGGCCTTTTATTGTGGCCAGCCTAAGGCACACCTGTGCAATAATCATGCTGTCTAATCAGCATCTTGATATGCTACACCTGTGAGGTGGATGGATTATCTCGGCAAAGGAGAAGTGCTCACTAACACAGATTTAGACAGATTTGTGAACAATATTTGAGAGAAATAGGCCTTTTGTGTACATAGAAAAAGTCTTAGATCTTTGAGTTCAGCTCATGAAAAATGGGGGCAAAAACAAAAGTGTTGCGTTTATAATTTTGTTCAGTGTATCTTCAAGACTTAAATCCTCGTATGCACATCACTGCCTGTACCTGTATTTGGGTGCTTAGTTACAAAACATAATTGTAAACTTTTCAGATCATGATTATGATGTTTTAACTGACTGAAGTTATGATTACTGACTTTATATATTTGAATGTGTATTTTCATCCTGGCCCGGAACGATAGACTTGATATCATTACGTCATCGCGAATGACGTCATTATGTTAGGGCGTAATAGAACCGACGAACCGGTTTTTTGAACCGGTTCATTGAAACGAACTGTCCGAAAGAACCGGTTCGCAGAAAATAACTGGACTTCTCATCACTAATTTGAAGCAGCATTGCACAGACTGATCGGACATCAAAGAGAGCGATTCGAAAGCATGCGGAGCCATCTGCTCTCTGTAGCTCTCGCGGTGCTTTGATGTCATACAGCGATTGGTCTGCACATTGCTGCTTCAAGTCGAACCGAGAAAGGGACTTTGGTCAAACACACTCCTGTCTACGAGCTTGCAATCTCTCTCTCTCTGCCCAGACCCCCCCGCATGATTCGATTACAATTATCATATCAACGATTCGATTCAATTTGATATCACGATGCGTTGCACCCTCAATTTTCAATATTTCTGCACATGGTTACATTTTCATATACAATTTATATCAAATTTGTTTTGTGCATTTATATTAAATTATATAAGCAGGCTGCTTTTTAAAATAATTACAAATGAATAATAAATCAAAACAATTGTTAAGAATTTAACCAACTAAATACAGCTTCAAAACATACAAGCAAATATGAAGTAATAAAGGGGGAAAAAGACAATCACAAGTGATAAACAAAAAGTACTTTCAGTATCTGAGAGTGTTTCTGAAAGTTTACAGACAATCATAGTTATGGGTTTTTCTTTTTTTCTTCAGCATTATTGCTGTTTGATTATTACTGATGAGATCCTAGACAGTAGCTGTTTTTTTTTTTCAGATGTTTTGTCCTGGTCTGAAAACATAACTCGCTGTCTTTACATCAATTTCGTATCATAAAGGATTCAGAGATGCAAGTGCATTTAACCGCAGCTGCATTCCAAAAAAGTGATACTGCTTTTCCACATGATCAGACTTATGTTGGTTTCTGCAAACAAACGATGACAGCCAAGTTTGTGTTTCTTGCAAAGATTTTAACTTAGTTTCATATTTTGCCTTATAATGCAAAGACTTTCAGATATTTTTAACTGTGACTTAAATGAAAAAAAAGGCACACTCATACTCTTACGCAACCATGCTTGCTCACCTTTACTAACAGACCATATTTGTCAAACATCCAGATTTTCTTTCTGGCTTCTGCCTGAGACATTCCCGACTCCATCATGGCCATGACGATCAGGTTAGCGATTCCCAGAGCAGCCTAAAAAATACAAAATTCCATCTTAAATACACAGGTTATGTTAGAGTCTAATCTCATATCAAACCACACAGATTAAAAGACTGGGTTTGCATTATAGTGTCTTTAAAACGTGTCACGTGAGCTCACCTCTCCAGCTCCCAGAAACAGAACTTTATGTTCAGTTATTGACTTCCCCACAACGCGTTGAGCTGACAGTAAACCCGCCAGAGCTACTGATGCAGTGCCTGCGGACACACAAACACAACTACTGATGCACAGTAGACAAGCAAACATCCGAAAATAAATAAATCAAATATGCATTTCTTAAAGGAAATACCTGTGCTTGTAAGGCAAAGCAGGACCAATAACAATTCAGTATGAAAATATAACAAAAGACATCATTAGTCTCATTTAGATTTTGAAAAAAGAAAAAAAGCAAGTCTGATCATGCTTCCTCATGCTGAATCAAATTAACTGATTCACTAAAATTAATCAGACTTCTAAGTGCTATCATTGTTATCATTAACAAAGTAAAAGTTATAAAAAGATTTTGGATAATTTAAATAAAGTTGAAATAAAATATAAATATTAGATTAAAAACGTTTTACTTAATTTGAAGGTTTAAATTGAAGCACTAAAATTACTAACTGGACTTAAACTGAAATAAAAATAAATGAAACACAGCAAACCCCATTAATAAGTCCAGTACTGGTACACACCCTGGATGTCATCATTGAAGGTGCAGGGATTACTGACTTTATATATTTGAATGTGTATTTTCATCCTGGCCCAGAACGATAGACTTGATATCATTACGTCATCGCGAATGACGTCATTATGTTAGGGCGTAATAGAACCGACGAACCGGTTTTTTGAACCGGTTCATTGAAACGAACTGTCCGAAAGAACCGGTTCGCAGAAAATAACTGGACTTCTCATCACTAATTTGAAGCAGCATTGCACAGACTGATCGGACATCAAAGAGAGCGATTCGAAAGCATGCGGAGCCATCTGCTCTCTGTAGCTCTCGCGGTGCTTTGATGTCATACAGCGATTGGTCTGCGCATTGCTGCTTCAAGTCGAACCGAGAAAGGGACTTTGGTCGAACACACTCCTGTCTACAAGCTTGCAATCTCTCTCTCTCTCTCTCGCTCTCTCTTTTTTTCCCTCAGCATTATTGCAGTTTGATTATTACTGATGAGATCCTAGACAGTAGCTGTTTTTTTTTTCCAGATGTTTTGTCCTGTTCTGAAAACATAACTCGCTGTCTTTACATCAATTTCGTATCATAAAGGATTCAGAGATGCAAGTGCATTTAACCGCAGCTGCATTCCAAAAAAGTGATACTGCTTTTCCACATGATCAGACTTATGTTGGTTTCTGCAAACAAACGATGACAGCCAAGTTTGTGTTTCTTGCAAAGACTTTAACTTAGTTTCATATTTTGCCTTATAATGCAAAGACTTTCAGATATTTTTAACTTTGACTTAAAGGTAAAAAAAAAAAAAAGGCACACTCATACTCTTACGCAACCATGCTTGCTCACCTTTACTAACAGACCATATTTGTCAAACATCCAGATTTTCTTTCTGGCTTCTGCCTGGGACATTCCCGACTCCATCATGGCCATGACGATCAGGTTAGCGATTCCCAGAGCAGCCTAAAAAATATAAAATTCCATCTTAATCTAAATTCCATTCCATCATACACAGGTTATGTTAGAGTTTAATCTCATATCAAACCACACAGATTAAAAGACTGGGTTTGCATTATAGTGTCTTTAAAATGTGTCACGTGAGCTCACCTCTCCAGCCCCCAGAAACAGAACTTTATGTTCAGTTATTGACTTTCCCACAACGCGTTGAGCTGACAGTAAACCCGCCAGAGCTACTGATGCAGTGCCTGCGGACACACAAACACAACTACTGATGCACAGTAGACAAGCAAACAATCCGAAAATAAATCAATCAAATATGCATTTCTTAAAAGGAAATACCTGTGCTTGTAAGGCAAAGGAGGACCAAAAACAATTCAATATGACAGACATAATTGGTCTCATTTAGATTTTGGGAAAAAAAAAAAAAGAAAAAAGAAAAAACCCGCAAGTCTGATCATACTTCCTCATGCTGAATTAAGTGAACTGATTCACTAAAATGAATCAGACTTCTAAGTGCTTATCAGTGTTATCATTAACAAAGTAAAAGTTATAAAAACATTTTGGATAATTTAAATAAAGTTGAAATAAAATATAAATATTAGATTTAAAACTTTTTACTTAATTTGAAAGTTTAAATTGAAGCACTAAAATTACTAACTGGACTAAAACTGAAATAAAAATAAATGAAACACAGCAAACCCCATTAGTAAGTCCAGTACTGGTACACACCCTGGATGTCATCATTGAAGGTGCAGTACTTCTCACGGTATTTCTTCAGAAATCGATAAAACATTTAGATGTTTTTACTCCATCTTCTTTAAGCTACACAATGTTAAACCGGTAAACGCCCTGACTGACTCAGTGTTGAAGGACTCAAATAGAAGTATTCGTTAAACTGATTCAAAACGATCATTCATGAGTTTGTGAGTCGCATTGAATGATTCATTACAAGAACTGGCTCATAAGATTTATTTGTTCATTAATCAGACTGGTCACACCATATTTGTTTTTGCATGCAGCCAGGGAAGACAAGTAATTTTTCTATTAAAATCTAGAAAATACTATTTTTATTCTTCAATTTCTTTTGCAGTGATGCTGTAAATCCTGAGCAAGTTGCTCTCAGTATCACCATCATATTTATTTGAGCACCTGGTGAGCAGCATTTCTAAATCGCAACATTTTTGCCTTCTTGCACATCTAAAAATGACTTCAACACAAGTTGAGAATAAGAGCAGGCTGGGCATACAATCACAGCTGTGATCTACACCGAAAAGGTTCAATGTATCAAAGCTAAATGGGTAATAATTAATGAAGTGTAGCTTACTTGGGTCGCCTGAAGATATGTCCATACTGAGTACATGCGAGACCAACAGTAGGTGTGTAGACGATGGGCATGAGAGCCTCAATGTCTTCCATAAGCACGCGGTAGAAGAGACGCTCGTTTCTTTCCTGAATCCCCATTAGATAGATGTACCTGTTCAAATGAACCCATACATGAATTTGCATTCAAAAAATATTTCACTTTTGTAATGGGACATTTTCAAACAGAAACAGAATACGGAGTGTGAAATAATGTTGGGTTGCACTTTTTAGCTACATAACTTTATCTATCAGGATCATGAAAAAAAGCAGGTTATGATATTACTGGCTAAGATTTTTTGAGCCACACAACCTTTATTGCAAAATTTCTCATATTCTTGCATAATATACACAGCAAACTTCAGTTTTTATATGGACATTTTAAATTCAATTTCAAATCAAATTGTAGAACAGCTCTTATTATCTGAAAAGGGTAGCGAGGTGAATGAATGTACTTCTGCAGTGGGTCGGACATCTTCTTCAGGTTCTTCTGGAAGCGCATGGCCTGGGTGTCCTGAGTCTCGATCTTTGGAGGCAACAGACCATGAATGCCCAAAATCTGCCGTTCCTTCAGAGTGAAGGCCATTCCCTGTGCATGCACAAATACACAATGAATGTTCACACTACATTTTTACTGCAGTAAAATAGAGGATTGCAAGTTGGGAGTGTTTGTCAAAGTCAAAAGAGCCCAAAACCGAATCTCCAAGGCTTTCTTTAAAAAAATTTGAATGCCTAACAATGGTCAACTGAAAAAAAGTGGCATTAAATATTTTTACAACCAATGATCAAGTTTTTTTTTTGTTTATGAACAAAAAATAAATAATTAAAATAAAATACAATAATAATAATAATAATAATAGATCCGATCCAAATGTTTTATATTTTAAATAAAAATAATTGTAGCTTTTTAAAATATGTATTATTATTATTATTATTATGTAGTGTTACTTATTTAACTTATTCTATATCCATTTGTGGTTTGAAATTATTTTTATTATTTAATAATAATATTTAAAGGAATATTTTTGTTATTAGGAATGTGTCAGATTCAAGTAGACATTAAGAACTACACTGTCTACAAACGGATCAAATTTTATCACTTGCTTGGTGCAACATCAAAGTTTATTTAGGGCCACAGGTTTGTTCAAATCCCCAACCATAAGTATGAGCAATGCTAGTGATGCTTGCCTTAGCAAACGACGCAAATTACAGACAAAGCCAGACACACAAAGACAACTGCAGATGGTCTAATTTAATACATTGTCTGTGCAGAGTGTCATGACATATGGAGGGCAGAGAACACAATGAGTCATACAGAGACCCTGAAACACTGGCTATATGTGTGTTTGAGGGTGGGCTGCCTGGAGCCCTGCTCTGCTGTACATTAAAACCATGCATGAATCTTTGACCTGAGCTGCAACAATTGTAATGCATACATCTTGTGTGTGAGGAGGAAATGTCTGCGGGGAGGAGATCAAATCAGTACAGCGACCAATGAGGGTCAGCGAGAGGGAAACGTCCATCTATAACATACAGGAACTGCATTCACTTTACATTCCATATGCCTGGAGTGTGTGTACATCTGTGTTTGAGCATATTTGAGGGCTGGGAACAGTTTTTAACAGCGCTGGTGGGTTACAGGTCTGCTTAAAAAACAATTATGTTAAAAGCAAATAATAAAAGGACTACAGACTAAATTAAATACAATTGCAGCAAGGATAAACATAGTTTATCAACCACCATATGATTTTGTGAGGTGAATTAATGGCTGCTGAGAACATGAAACCATCTGGCATTTTAGTTTAGTTTTGTACAATAAACATTTTTGATTGTGTCTTGGGTCATCGCTTGATCTCCAAAGTAAAATAAGAGGCCTGAAGCAAAACCAGTGGTCTACAGCACGGAAATGAAGCACACACCCATGTTTTTGAGGATACGTGGCACATCTGCTGAGTCACTCTTCTAATGTTTTCCAGACAAAAGCATTTAGACCCTCAAAACGCACAGGGACTGTGTTAGACAGTATGCATCAGTGCTGGGGAGTTCAAAAAACTAGCGGGGGGGAAAAAAACGTCAATGTATTGTGCACGCAGTCTTACATTCACGTGAGTTGAGGCGATAATTAAACACTCTACTAAAATGTCCAGTTTTATATTAAATGTCCACATTATATATCGAAATAAACATGGCTTAGTTTGATTATCAAATTGCAGAGGCAGTGATTTAATTAAATAAATACACGCACTGCAGGTTTCAGAGGAAAGCGTGGCACGGTGTTCATTTGCACACATACAGCTCATGATATGAGCCGCAGCACATGATTTATTTTTAAATATAAATATTTATTATTTTAGAAATATTTTTCTATTTTACGGAACATTAGCATAATTTTTTTACATCTTTTCTTGTTGACATCTTATTTGATGATAATCACAATACAACATCATAATTATTTTAAACTTCACTTTATTATGGTTAATTTAAAATGTTTGAGTTGTAAAGAGTTACGCTAAAATGATGGTTTGCATTTAAAAAAAAGAAATATGTATATATTATATACACACACACACACACACAGTAATGCTGAGGCTTAGAATCACTCAAGACACCTTAGCAACCACATAGAAACACCCTGGCAACCACCCTAGAATTGTGGCGTCAAGTGTTACACGGGTCACTTCTCTAATCTCACTAAATGTTGTTTATCACTCCGTTTTTCATTAAGATTTATAAACTGTTGTGTTTTATAAGTTTTATTTAGTGTATGTGTTTGAGTTTAATGCTGTCATTACAACTGAGATCCTCGTTTTTGTGCCATTTATATAATTCAAATGCTGAAAATTACAGATTAAAAGCAGATTCTTCAACTCTTCAATAAATGGAAACCAGAAAGGACGGTGACTGAAAGAGAGAGAACTAGAAGGAAAGACAGATTGAATTTAGTCTAACCTTGTTGGTACGTGGGTTGAGCATGAGCGGTTTTCCCTTTTCTTTAGTGTGAACCCATCGGCACACGCTCACACACGGCCTCACACTCATGCTTAATCTGGACAGCATGGCTGCACTGATACCGACACACACCTGCAAAAAAATTAAATCATAATAATAATAATACATGCCATTACACTTAATGCACTCAGACACAAAAACTGATCACTTAGATCAGTAGTGTCTGATAGAAGAGCTCTTATCGGCTGATTAGATTTAATTAGAATTATTATGGCTGAGCTGTCAGCAGCACTAGATTCTCACACCACAATCCTGACTGAGAACATTATGAGTCACTGCTGTGCTGATAAACATTCATGCCAGAGACCTTATAAAGGATATCAGCACACAGACAGCACTGAAGAACATCTCTGTAGCCTTTATAAATGCTGTGGCCTTTATAAAGTAAATACATAAAAAAATAAAACTAAAATAATTTAAAATAACGTACTAAAACAAATGTAAATAAAATAAATAAATGACAAATGTAAAAAAACACTACAAAAAGGATACAAATGTTTTATTGTTCACCTGCATGTCATCTGACCATCAACCAATATCAGATAACCATGAACAGGTGAATTATTATCAATTATTGAGATATTATCATTACATATTAGGGGGTACTTCAGTAAAATATTATAGGTCATAGGGGTTCGGCTGACAAAAAAGCTTGGGATTCCCTGCAATATTTCATCCATGAATGTAAATTATTATTTTCTTCCCTCATGGTCAAGAATTTGATGATTTGATGATTTGTAATTTAAACACATTTTAATTGTTGGTACCAACACTAAAGCTAAAGGACCTATTTAAAAGCAATGCACAACAGAAAACCAAATGTTGACGCTTGCAAGGCATAAAAAAAACATGCACGTTATCACTGAACACAAGACAATGACTGGCCCAATAATGCAAGTGATAGTTCTCAGTAAAACAAAACTAGCATTTTTGTATGAGATATTCCTTTAGTTTAGGGATAAATCACATTACTTGTCTCAACACCATAGAAACAATCAGCTCCTTTCCCCCATGCACTGACCATACAGTGCGAGAGACACTCGCCGTCACACACTGTGCACATACAGTGCTCTTACACTCGCAATCTGTCACACACAAGGAATCAGGGCAATGAATGAGATTAAGCCAGAATCCACTGCCAAAATCAGGTTCTCACAAACTGGGGTTTGTGAGTTGATGAAAATAATTAAATAATAAAAACGCAACATTCAAATAAATACATATTTAAAATAAATTACATTTTAAATTAAAAAAAATCTAAATATGTACTAAAATATTTTATATAAAATTTTCTAGGGATGCACCGATATGAAAATTTTGGCCGATACCGATAACCGATTATTCTTTATTTTTGAAAGCCGATAACCGATATGTTGGCCGATAAATCTATATCCAAATTGTTATATACTTTTTGAGAGCCTGATTACAAAAAAGTTTAAAAGCAATGCACAACAGAAAACCAAATGTTGACGCTTGCAAGGCATAAAAAAAACATGCACGTTATCACTGAACACAAGACAATGACTGGCCCAATAATGCAAGTGATAGTTCTCAGTAAAACAAAACTAGCATTTTTGTATGAGATATTCCTTTAGTTTAGGGATAAATCACATTACTTGTCTCAACGCCATAGAAACAATCAGCTCCTTTCCCCCATGCGCTGACCATACAGTGCGAGAGACACTCGCCGTCACACACTGTGCACATACAGTGCTCTTACACTCGCAATCTGTCACACACAAGGAATCAGGGCAATGAATGAGATTAAGCCAGAATCCACTGCCAAAATCAGGTTCTCACAAACTGGGTTTGTGAGTTGATGAAAATAATTAAATAATAAAAACGCAACATTCACATAAATACATATTTAAAATAAATTACATTTTAAATTAAAAAAAATCTAAATATGTACTAAAATATTTTATATAAAATTTTCTAAATATAAATAAATAAATATTTTATTGGTTGACCTGCATCTCATGTGACCATTAACTAGCATTAGAGAACTGTGAACATGCAAATGTTTTGTTAATTTATTAAAATATTAAGTAAATATTTTATTTCTAAGGGCTTTTGCTGACAAACACGTTTGGGAATCCCTGACGCAAATGATGCAAAGACTAATTTCTCAGCATTCGCCTGGAAGGAAAATAAATAAATAAAAACAGTATGAGGGTGAGTAAATGATTACAAAATGTTCATTTTTGGGTTAATTCAATGTCAAACTAGTTTACCCACATAATCACATAATACTGGTCTTTTTACAATGACAAAGGGACCACTCAAATAATGCAAACAAAAGCAGTGATGAATGGAAATTATAACGCATTAAACAATCAACATATATGAGACATAGGGTAATTTAATATCCATTTTAATAGAACGCAGATGTAATATCACTGAAGATTCAATCACATACTCAACTCTAAAACAACATAATCAGATGTCTCATGACTGCTGGTTGGTATGTCTGCATGTATAAGCAGTTGAACATACTCGTATCAGCACTGAAGTCACCTACTTTGCTTTACAAAGAGGAAATTAAACTTGTACATAAAGCATAAAGCCAAACCCTTCCAACAAATAACTCGTCACCAGCCACACATGATCACTCCTTATCGATTTATTATACTGTGTTCTTCTGGGTCATTAAAAAAAGTCAAAGTACACAACAGAGGTGGTGTGCATGCTGATATCATCGTTATTGTTAGGTCGGGACCGTTTCATCCAGTGTGATTCACAGCAGACTAAATTCAAGTGCCTCGCTCAAGGGTGCAATGATGTCGGGGTAGGGAGTTCTGGGGTCACTCCAAACTGGGACATTTGCATTTAAAGAAATAGTTCACCCAAAACACGGAAGCAGTATATTCCAAGATATTTTGAAGGTATTGAATAACAGACAATAATCTGCAAGAAGGCAACTACTTACAATGTGATTTATGCATACATTTATGCATTTGGCAGACATTTTTTCCAAAGCAAATTATATTGCATTTAAGGCATTCCCTGCGACTTGAACCCATGACCTTGGCGTTGCTATCGCCATGCCCATATATACCCAATTTACCAAACTATCTACAGCTTATCCACCATCAGGCTCCAAATGTGTCCCAGACACAGAAAACATGCATTCTTTCCGTAAGACAAAGAAAGTTATTTTAGGGACCAAATGGGAAGTCACACCAGATCTGCCTAATGTGTTCTTGCTCAGTGAAAAACAAGCCAGTGATTTGTTAAAGCGGCACCTCATAGCTGATGAACACATCCTGAGCAAGTCTCGGCCATAATTTGTGTGATTTATGGAACTACATACAATCAATTGAATGTAAGTGTCTTGATAAAAGGGCACGATGATGAAGATAGGTCATGCATTTAACCTAAAGCCTTTCAGACGCCAGCCCAGAGCTCAAACCACTATATGACGCTACCCTAAGAAGTTAATTTGTGAAAGCAGATTTTGTAGAAATTAGAATAGTTCATCGATTACTCAATCCAGGCTTTGAACCTACAACCTTCAGTTATTAGCCCAGATTGCGATGGAATACGAATATACAAGCTTTCAGTCTAGATCTTTAAGTACAACATCATAGAACACAAAAAGTGAATTTGTAAATATAAATTGAGAGCACAAAGCTGGTAGCATACGAATAAATAGAGTTTGAAGTTTGAACCTACATCCTTTCAGCTACCAGGCTACTAGATATTTAAACACAAAGCCACTGCAAGTGACTTTAAAGTGATTTTATTAAAATAGATTAAACACACAGTGCTAATCGTTAATGGATCACATCTTCAGGATATTTAGGCTAGAAACCACAGGTGATTAGTGTAAAAAAAAATTGTAATACTAACAGATATCACCATACTTCACTAGTTAATTAATTACAGTAAATTACGACAATTGTTTTGTATTATGTTTAAATTTGAAAATGAGTCGTTACTAATTAAATACACTAATTTGCATACATTTCCAGAGCAGAAATCAGGTTTTCGGTTCAAAATGTAGTTTCATTTTGTTGATACTTTACATTTGAGTCATGCTTAATTATTCACTCCATAAAAAAGAAAATACCAACAGTATTTTCAATACTTTTGAAATTTGGTATTTTCATACTATCAATTTAGTTTGCTAAATGATCAAATGTAAATGTAACAGTAGTTTCAAAATTTAAGAAAAAGCTACATATCAGATGAATGATATCTGAACAAACCCCTCTGTAAAAAGTTTCAGAATATAGATAGGAGTAAAACCAAGGGCATAGCGATTATAGAATTTTACTAAATATTTATTTATAACGTTTTTTTCTATGAAGTAAAAATGCATATAATGTAATTAATAATACATGTAAAAGTTAATACATTTTAAATTGTTATTGCAAGTAAATTAATAAATCAAAACAAACTTAACGTCTCCCTCGATCTCATTTGCGTAAGAATTGTCACGTGACGAATCTGCAGTTTGGTGGATAATAGACTTAACGGTAATGCTTGCCTGTTGTGTGGAATAAAATGATATTCCGCGTTTTTAACATCATACACTGCAGAGAAATCTGGAGATAACGAAAAACTCAGATGAAGATATTAAAGGGGTCATATGATGCTTTTTTTAAAGATCATTATTTTGTGTATTTGGTGTAACAGAATATGTTGACATGCTTTAATGTTCAAAAAACATTATTTTTCAAATACTGTACATTATTGTAGGTCCTCTATGCCCCGCCTCTCTCAAACGCTTCGTTTTCTACAAAGCCCCTCCTTCCGACAAGCGCAGTCTGCTCTGATTGGCCAGCTGACCCAGTGCATTGTGATTGGCCGAACACCGCAAGCACTCGTCGGAAATGTAACGCCCCTTACCATAATCACGAGCTTCATCTTTCAAAATAAATGTAAAGACAGTAAATAATGTCATTAGTTTTACCATCAGTTCAAGCCCGAAAGGGGAACAGACACAGTAATGATGCAGTACACAAGCCGCGGTTAAGACTCACGAAACGGTCGTCTATAAAATGCATTGCTGTTCTGTTGTAAGTGATCTTAAAGATTCCTAAATGCATCTACTTCTGGAAGGCCAAATAAAGTGATTTTGCTTTAGCCTAGAAACACACAGCGTCTCCCTGACATGCTGCTTCAACACTAACTGCGGTTACTGAAACCACGCCTTCTTTCTTTGCGTGAACATTTGGGCGGCATTATGCTAATATTTCCACATAGTGAGGTAGATATGTGGGGGCGTGTTAGAACGAGCCGTTTTAGGGGGGCGTGGCAGAGTCTTAACTTTGATAAAGAATATCTCTTTGGTTTTGAGACTTTAGTCTTTGCAACTTCAGGGATCTTATCTATGCACAATCAGCTTGTAACACTCCAAAGAGAAAGGAAAACTTGAAATCGCATCATATGACCCCTTTAATACTGTGCTTGATTCCGGATCCGGTCAATCAGATAAAGGTGATCCACAGGACGGAGCCGGTTTAGCCGCACACTACTTTTATGCAAACCATTTACATCCGAATGTTATTTACTTTTCACAGAACACAACCTTTAAATAGATTTTAGAATATAAACCGTTTATCGTCTATTCAGTAAGACTAAATAAAAAGTGTGTGCCTTAATGCGCATTAATTTGAATCAAGCCCAACAAATGTCTGTTTTAAAAACAGTGGATGAGTTATTCACTCCTTGATTTGCTTAATAAAAGCCTCCTTTGAGATCGTTTTGACAGACATGTTTATTGTGCATTTTAAACGTGTTTATTGCTAAGTTTAGTGTAGAAAAATAGAAGCGTAGCTGTAATTCGAGGGTAATGTATGTGGTTACCATGACAACCTCACGCACTTGCCACTGCTCTATGTATATTTACTACAGCAAAACTAAAACGTGTTTAAAAGTACGTCTGACCAAATCCACCGGTTCGGGTTCGGGTTCGGGTTCGGGTTCGGGTTCGGTGCCTGCCCCCCCCCCCCCCCCCCACCAACCGCCAAATGCGTCAAGCTACGCCTATGATAAGGTTTGGTGTATGTAAGTGATACTGAGGTGGAGGAAAAAAATCATTTTGAGAAAATAACCTATTAAGAAATATACTGATTAAATGTGAATTTGGGGTGTTTTCTTTTCACTAGTATGAAAGAAGACACGTTATGAAAGCAGAATAGCCCAAAATTGACCAATGCCTGAAAAAACAAACAAACAAACAATGCTTTTGCATGTAGCGTCCTGTCGTCAGATCTTAACAATTAAGCCCATTAAACAGATCGTCTGCGCTGAAACCGTTAGTTAATGCAGCAACCCCAACGAGCAACAGGTGTCGAGCCAAAACACTGATCATGTTAAACCACAAGGCCATGCGCTCACTAATTAAACAATCATGTAAACACATTGTAGAATGTGATGCTATGAATCTAGCGTTAGTTGAGTGAAGTGGTGACAGCTGCTATTCAGTTAGGCTAACACAAAACACTCGATATTTACCCTCCAGAGCTCTCATAAAGGATATATCTGAAGCCTTACCCTTTCCTTCAAACGTCTAAGAGTCCGTTAGTCACAGTAATACGCGACTAAACATTATATTTGGGATCAACTCACCGGTTTGAGGTCTGCGCGTCAGGCCTCGCGGAGTGAGTGACAGTCGCGAGCCTTCTCTGCACGAGACATTCTTTAACGCACACACGCCGACAGCCAATCAGAAGCGAGCTGAAGATTACCGTAAAGCTAAGCGCAGCACAAACAACAGAAACCGCCGACCACGGAAGCGGAAGGAAAATTATGAAAGCGCCGTAAGTTTCTTACACAAACCTGGGGCAAGTTCAAGCTCAAACCGGAGTGCAACGTTTTGCTACGGTTTCCGGGTTGACCGACATGTCTCCTGGAAACGGTGTGCAACGGGGTTTGAGATGCGTTTTCTCTTGTTTGGTGGCGGTGTCAAAAAATGTCAGCCCATTCAGCAGCAACATGTATATAAACCACGCGGTATTAAAGAGACAGCTGCACAATATAATTAACATCAAAATAAATTCACAAGATCATATTGTTTGCACATGTTTATTTACATAAAGCAAAATAACTGAAATGATAAGAGCACAAGTATAGCGCTGGAACTTCTTTAAGTCGGTCTAAATATCATTTAGTACCGAATTGCAATGTCGTCTGGTCCATCCTTTTCTTGGGAAGGTGTGCTAGGCCAGTGTTTCCCAACCTTTTTGTAGTTGCGGCACCCTTTGGAAATTTTAACAAAATTGTGGCACCCTACTAAATTAACACGGCACCCCGGTTGGGAAACACTGTGCTAGACACTGATCAATGTAACAAAAATACTATACATATTTGTATGTTTTGCTATTGTATTGTGGAGTGACACTTTCAAAAACTTTTCTATATTCCTCTGATTATATAATGGTAAATATTACAATAACATATAGCACAACAACAGTGATCAGCAATAATGATAAGCCTAATACTCACAATAAAAATAATATAGATCATAACACAGTCTCGGAGGTAAAAAGTGGATTATCCTTCACCTGAAATGTTTGTCTTTTCATTCTGAAAAACATTGTGATCAATAAATGTTGGATCACAATAATTAGGAACCACAGTTTGCACAAATCCCTTCACTCTACTGGGATTAAACACATATTTATACCGATTTCATCAGGCTCTGATCAGATAGGCTGGCCTTTTATTGTGGCCAGCCTAAGGCACACCTGTGCAATAAACATGCTGTCTAATCAGCATCTTGATATGCCACACCTGTGAGGTGGATGGATTATCTCGGCAAAGGAGAAGTGCTCACTAACACAGATTTAGACAGATTTGTGAACAATATTTGAGAGAAATTGGCCTTTTGTGTTCATAGAAAAAGTCTTAGATCTTTGAGTTCAGCTCATGAAAAATGGGGGCAAAAACAAAAGTGTTGCGTTTATAATTTTGTTCAGTGTATATAATCATACATTGTGTCTGTTTTTGTCCATATGTTGCACTGAAAAACAACCTCTTTCATGTCATATGTTTAAAAATGGTGTGAAAACATCCAAAATATTATGATCCATAGTGTTGTGTTCAGAAGTCAGTAAGAAGTCAGAAAGAGCTTTATTACCATGTTTACACACACAAGGAATTTGACTTGGCAACAGGAGCTTCCAGTGCAGAAGAAAGTGCAACATACAGGTGCATCTCAATAAATTAGAATGTCGTGGAAAAGTTCATTTATTTCAGTAATTCAACTCAAATTGTGAAACTCGTGTATTAAATAAATTCAATGCACACAGACTGAAGTAGTTTAAGTCTTTGGTTCTTTTAATTGTGTATTCTTGAAGTAGCTGCTGACCTAGAGGTGTCCTTCTTCTTGATGTCCAAGAAGACTGTGCCATCAGAATAATGCTTTAAGGTTTTTGCACTGTATTATATAATCAATTACAAATTAGAATGATTACAATATTAACATTTTAACTACAAGAAAAATGTTCTCAGGCACGTAGCTTATGTAGGTAACAGAAACAATGGCTATATAATAAACAAGAGTTTATGAATAACACAGGAGTTTATAGTTAATAGTTTATATTAATTGTATTAGGCCACAGATACATTTGTAGAGGTTTGTTTCAGGCATTGTTGTATACACACTGCAGTACTAGTCACCAATGACAACTATAGGTAGGCTAATCTATTCAAATAAATAAATCCATTAATGAAACCCCCACAAATAAAATATATAAAAGCTATAAAAAAATAATAAAAAAATTATATATATATATAGGCACGCAAAGAAGTACAGCTTCATATACAGTATGTAAATGTATTTCCAGATCGCGCATGTCTGTTCGCTCTATGACCAGAAGAGGCCACAGTTGACTTGTTTCTAGTCTTGAGAAAACAATTTAAAGTCCTTGCACAACTAAACCAACCACTGACGTTTGAGATACTTTTATCGGGTTTGTTTATCATGCTATAGTATAAATGTGTTAATATGGTAGCACTTCTTTATATATGTCATTAACAAACATGATCAGTATAGCTGATGTATTTTCCAAATAAAAATGTTATGACAACCCTAATCACACACACACCTGAACCAGCTAATCAAGGTCTTCAAGATCACTTGTAAAGTCACAGGCCAGGTGTGCTGAAGCAGGTTGGAAATCAACTTTGCAGGACAGTGGGTCCCCAGGAGCAGGGTTGAAGACCTATGAGTAGAAGTTGCAGTTATTTAAAGGGGTCATATGATGCTGCTAAAAAGAACATTATTTTGTGTATTTGGTGTAATGAAATGTTTATGCAGTTTAAGGTTCAAAAAACACTTTATTTTCCACATACTGTACATTATTGTTTCTCCTCGATGCCCCTCCATTCTGAAATGCGTCGATTTTTACAAAGCTCATCGGTGCTCTGATTGGCCAGCTATCCAGTGCGTTGTGATTGGCAGAATACCTCAAGCGTGTGACGGAAATGTTACGCCCCGTACCATACTGTGATGCTGTGTCCCGGCGCAACGAGACAAAAACATTAAAACAACGAGGCATTCGTTGCATCCAGTGGGGACATAATTACGGATTATAATGACTTATACTGTCTTTTTATGCATTGCGTTGCAAATTCTTTATATATAAAAAACGTACTTACCGTCTGTGAGTCAGAACAGCCGGCATTGTAGTCTACACTACCAGGATCAAGAAACAGTCCTCCATAAAATGTGCTGCACACATCTGAATATTTGGGTTGAACTGTTCTGGAACAGTGTTGTAAATACAACTTAACCACTGATTTCTAGTCGTGTCCTCTTTTGGAAGACTAAACAAAGTAGTTTCTCTTTCACAACGAAACACACAGCATCTTCACAACATGGCGGCGGTGGCAGCAACAAAGTTACGCCTTCTTTGCGTGAACATTTGGGCGGTGTTATGCAAATCTTCCCACATAGTGATGTAGACATGTGGGGCCGTGTTTAAACGAGCCGTTTTAGGTAGGTGTTGACGAGTCTTAACTTTTATAAAGAAAATCTCTTTGGTTTTGAGACTTTAGTCTTTGCAACTTTAGGGATCGTATCTATTCACGAACAGCTTGTAACACTCCAAAGAGAAAGGAAAACTTGGAACTTGTGAAACTATACATAAAAATATCTGCATGAAACTGAAACAGCAGGCGAGCTGAACGAGGAGCAGATTCACTCTCTGCCAGCAGGTGGCGCTTAAAGCGTTTCCTTGGTTTCCGCTGTGCTGCACTTATGAACTTTAATATGCATTATACAGAGGCAAGAGGAAAAGAAAATAATACCATCTAAACTTTTCTAAAGACAGTAATTTAATGAGAGTTCTCCTCCTGGTTTGTGCCTCTTTGACTGTTTGAGTAAATCTATAATGGTGTCTAACCTGTTTTGCCTGTATATTTTTCCCCTCCTGCCACATTTACCAAACATTTGTTGATCAAACACTCTCACCGCCAAATTGATCTGTTCTTATATAATCTTATTATGTTATGAAACATAGATTAAAGATGAGTGGGAGAAGGAAACTTTGCAGAAAATTGCAGGGAGAGGCACCACAGACTCCACCTGATCAGGCTTCAAAATGACTGCGGCGGACGTCTGCTTTCATATGTGAATAACACTCATAGCTGTAAGATTATTGTTTTCCCCTCTTTGACATACTGTCTAAAGGCTTAAATATTAATTCCTTATAGGCTACTTAAAAAAACAGCATTAATTATTTCCATTATGGTGGCTCGTCTGGTATTTCTGGTCCTACTTTGTTTCAGAAAACAGAACAATTTTAAGAAAACAGAAAGATCCCAACACTCTGTCCTCTTTTTTTTAGGGTTGCACTGCAAAATATTGCCATCATATAGTTATATGAGATATAACTATTACTCTTAATGTTTTATAAGAACGCCCGGAAAAAGAAAAGGGAAGAAAATTAGTAAAAGAAAGACACATATTTTATGAGTGTCCTTTATTTCATATGTGTACATGTGTACATGAATATCACATATCAAATAAACATTAGTTTTTTTAATCAAAATAAACACAAAATACTAAGGAAATTGTATAATTTGTTAATAAATAGGTACAAAAAATAAATATTATTATTATTATTCTATGTGCAATATATCTGTAGTGCACTCCACACCAGTGACGACAGCATGACTTCTACCTGAAACAAAAACAATTTATTATTTTATGTCATATTATATATATATATATATATTTATATATATATATATATATATATACACATGGCAAACACCACACTAAAAATCTTACTGTATATACACATGGCAAACACCACACTAAAAATCTTATATTTAGCAACCCATAAATAAAGACTTGATCTTACTTCCTCTTCACACCATAAAGTTCTTCTTCTCTAGTTTCTCTCTCTCATTAGTGGAGCTCAGGAACGCCGCCTGAAAGCGCTGATGTGTTCTATTGCTGGAATATAAAATCAATACAACAAAAAAAACATATTTAGTAGGCCTACATGGTTCTGCCGAATACTCAAATCTACTCTTACTCTAACATTTCTTATAATGTAATTTCTTTCCATTGTACTTTGCTGGATAGTTGAATGAGTATGTTGTTAGGCCTATGTCTTCTTATATGTTGAATTTGCATTACAGTAAAAAAAATTAAAAATAAATCAAATCTGACTGGTCAAGCACGAAAACGTTCATAAAAGATTGTCA